GCAGTTTGTGGCCGGGGCTGTGTTTGAACCTGCCACCTCTCGCACATGGGGCCGGTGCCCTACTCCTTGAGCCACAGGTGCTGCCAGCCAGCTATTTTTTTGTTGCAGTTGTTGCTTAGCTGGCTCTGGGCTGGGCTTGAACCTTCCAACCTCGGTGTATATGGTTGGCACTGTAACCATTGTGCTACGGGCTACGAGCCTAGACTCTCATTTTCTGGCATGCAACTTCTAAAATCCTTAGCATCTCCAAAGTAGTAAACGTCTTTTTGTATGCTAAGAGCTGATGCCTGGATGGGGCTGGTCACTGGAGACCTAGGCAGGATTATAGGGTTGGGACTTTAAGCCCCATCTCCCAACCTCTGAGGAGGGGAGAGTGGTGAAGGTGAAGTTGATTGCCAGTGGTTAATGGTATAATTAGTTGCACCTATGTAACAAAGCCTCCATAAAGCCTAAAAGGTTGGAGCTGGGAGAGCTTTGGTAGGATATCTGAATTCTCAGAGCTTCTTGGTGCATGGTTGGTGCCTCTGGAGAGGTGTTTCCCCTGAGTTCTGTGAGCTGCTCTAGCAAATTAAACCTAAAGAGGGGACCGTGGGAGCCCCCATTTAAAGCATAGTAAAGCAACCTGAAACTCGTTATTGATATCAGAAGTGGGGAGCAGCGATCTTAAGGTACTGGGCCTTCTGCATGTGGGATCTGACGCTACCTCTCTGTAAAATTACAGGACAACCAGATTGTATTGGCTGTAGAATAATTGATTGGTTGCTGATGGGGAGGAATCCCCCACTTCTTGGTGACTAGAGTTTGCAGAAGTCTTCTGTGTTGATTGTTGCTCGAGAATGTAGGAGAAACTAAATTTGGTGTTTTTTTTTTTTTTTTTTGCATTTTTGGCCCGGGCCGGAATTGAACCCACCACCTCCTGTATGTGGGGCTAGCGCCCTACTCCTTTGAGCCACAGGCGCTGCCCGGAGAATATTCTATATTCTTTTATTCTCTGTGGAGGCTAATGCAGTGAAGAGATGGGTGACTTGGATTAGTATAGTAATAATGGAATTAGAAGGAGTTAGATTTTGGAACCTGTTTTTGGTTTTTTTTTAGACGGAGTCCCACTTTGTCACCCTTGGTGGAGTACTATTGTAGCATCATAGCTCACAGAAATCTCCAACTCTTTTTTTGGAGACAGAGTCTCAAGCTGTCACCCTTGGTGGAGTGCTGTCCCATCCCAGCTCACAGCAAACTCCTGGGCTTAAGCAATTCTCTTGCCTCAGCCTCCCAAGTAGCTGGGACTACAGGCACCTGCCACAACACCCAGCTGTTTATTGTTGTTTGATGGGCCCAGGCTGGATTTGAACTCACCAGCTCTGGTGTATATGGCTGGCACCTTAGCTGCTTGAGCTACACACACCAAGTTGAAATCTCCAACTCTTGGACTCAAGTGATTCTCTTGCCTCAGCCTCCCCAGTAGCTGGGACTACAGGTGCCCACCATACCACCAGGCTATTTTTAGAGATGGGGGTGGGGAGTTTTCTCGCTCTGTCTCAGACTGGTCTCAAACCTGTGAACTCAGGCAGTCTACCTGCCTCGGACTGAGACTGGCCAGATTTTGGAAACATGTTAAAGATCATAGTTTCAGAATTTGTTTCTGAACTAATTGTAGAGTGTAAGAGAAAGAAGAGTCAAGAATGGCATCAGGCTTCCCTGATGTGGCTTGTTAGTCACAAATTTCACTAATTTGTTGCCTTTTTATTATAAAGGCATGAAGGTAACTCAGACAGTTTATTTAAAAATCTATTTTCCAGCTAGGTGTGGTGGCAAGTACATGTAGTCTCAGCTACTACTAGAGGCGGAAGCAGAAGGATGGATCCTCTTGCTTTAGCCCAGGAATTCAAGTACAGCTTTCTTCTCTGTAGCTGCTCTTTTTTTTTTTTTTTTAAGGAAAAAAGGTAGAAGGTAGAAAATTTCAGTTACACTGTACTCTGCCATTCATGCTGGCCTCTTTTCCTTCATATACTGAGTATGTCTTTTTTGGTTACTCCATTTTATAGGTGTGTGGTTGCTGTGCTCTATTTGGATTTGGTACATTTAAAAGCTTAAAACACTGAAAATGTTGATTCTCACTTCTCTGTGGTCTCTTGTCAAGACATGTTCTGACATGTTGCAGAGGTTTTCCTGGAAGTCCTCTTGAAATCTTAAAGCTTAAGACTTAGATTAGTAAATCCCCAGGGCTGGATGTGTGTTCTAGAGGGTGCTTTTGAGCATTGCCCAAGAGGATGAGATAACTAAAGAACTAGCTCATATCTTTGGGGGAGGTGATGATTGTAAATTAGACTTTAAGTTGAAACAATTTACACTTTAGCCTCAGTGAGGAAGTTGGAGCATGCCCGAACCTGTTTCTATTTCAGGCTGCACCTATGGGAAGCATATGTGGTTCTTAGTTAAGCTCTTCAGTTTTTTGTTGGCTCCAAACTACAAAGTGATCAGAAGGTATGAAGAACCTTAGTATTTTGTAGGGTGCTTTGATATGGGTGTTGCATGTGTCTTACTTCTGCTGGATGCTTTTTTTTTAAGTACCAAGAGAGAATTTTCTACTTTAGAATTGATTTTCTAATTTTTTTCTTTTAGTTTTATTAACAGACTATAATTTCATCACTGCCAAAATGACATCATTGTCTACTTCTGCCCAGTGTTCAACATCTGACGGTGCTTGTAGGATCTCTTCAGGACAAACCAATAAGGTAAATAATTTTGGGGTATTCCTTCTTTCAATTAAAAAAAATTGAACTGAGGCATATGGCTGACTTAAGTGACTTGGCTTTTATATAGAGCAGAAATAATTGGTATATTTAAAAGTGACACCCAGGCACGGTAGCTTGCTCTGGGAGGCTGAGGCAGCTGGGTTGCCTGAGCGTACAGGTTCCAGACCAGCCTGAGCCTGAGCAAGACTGTCTCTAAAAACAGCCAGGTGTTGGGACAGGCGTCTATAGTCTACTGAGGGTGACAAAGTGAGACTCTGTCTCAAAAAAATGAATAAGTACATAAAAAATTAAAAATGACATATTTGGGCAATGGGTAAACAGTATCAACATTCATAAATTTGAATTGACTTGATTAAAATATTTGGAGGATTCAGATTGCTCTAAATGATACATTGTGAAAACTAGCATTTTTTATGGTAGAGTTGACTAGAGAATTTAGGGCTAGGTTGTATTTGTTTTCTATATCACTTTGTCACAACTAGTTTGTTTTCTTTAAAATCAGTTTTAAATTATAGCAAA